CCTTAACGGTCACCTGAGTCCTACAGTATTTATTTTTGTTGTCGAAATATGTACCAATTTGAGTAAAAAATAGTTAAGAATAATGTTAACTTAAATTTGTATGGACCATGAGCTGATCATTCCTAGAGCGATTTTCAGTTATATCGGCCTATTAGAACTTGTTTTTAAGTTTGAAATAGGAATTTTCAAAATGGCGGCTGTGGCGGCCATATTGGATTTCTGATCGACCCGCAAAAAATAACAACACTTTGTCAGGACCATGAGTCGATCATTCCTACAAAGTTTCAGTTCAATCGGCCTCGCAGAACTTGACTTTAAGTTTGCAATAGGTATTTTCAAAATGGCGGCCGTGGCGGCCATATTGGATTTCTGATCGACCCGAAAAATAACAACACTTTGTCAGGACCATGAGTCGATCATTCCTACAAAGTTTCAGTTCAATCGGCCTCGCAGAACTTGACTTTAAGTTTGCAATAGGTATTTTCAAAATGGCGGCCGTGGCGGCCATATTGGATTTTTGATCGACCCGAAAAATAACAACACTATGTCAGGACCATAAGTCGATCATTCCTACAAAGTTTCAGTTCAATCGGCCTTGCAGAACTTGACTTAAAGTTTGAAATAGTTTTTCAAAATGGCGGCCGTGGTGGCCATATTTGATTTCTGATTGACCTGAAAAATGACAACACTTTGCCAGGACCATGAGTCTATCATTCCTTCCAACTTACAGTTCAATCTGCCGAGCAGACCTTGACTTTAAGTTTGAAATAGTTTTTCAAAATGGCGGCCGTGGTGGCCATATTTGATTTCTGATCGGCCCGAAAAATAACAACACTATGTCAGGACCATAAGTCGATCATTCCTCCAAAGTTTCAGTTCAACCGGCCTTGCAGAACTTGACTTAAAGTTTGAAATAGTTTTTCAAAATGGCGGCCGTGGGGGCCATATTTGATTTCTGATCCACCCGAAAAATAACAACACTATGTCAGGACCATAAGTCGATCATTCCTACAAAGTTTCAGTTCAATCGGCCTAGCAGACCTTGACTTTAAGTTTGAAATGAAAAATGTTAACGGACGACGGACGACGACGGGCGAAGACGGATAGCAACAGGTCACTTGAGCTAAAGCTCAGGTGACCTAAAAAAAATCTATTGATTTATAAAACATTTACTTTCTGAAGACTATGACTATTCTTTAAGTATCTTCACATAAAACTTGGACATAAAACTGTTTTCATGCTCAAACTCAAGTTTGAGGATCGAATTCCCTTTCTTTCTAACTAGTGCGATTTCTTGTGACGGAAAAAATAAGAAAACATTGAGGCATATTGCTCAGCTGCACGTTTAGGCAAAGTACATATTACCTACACACTATAAAGGCAGAGTTCAAAAGATATTATCTCATTTGAATTAAAAATTGAGTTAGAGTCTAGACTCTGTAAGAGCAAGATATCTGTTTTATCGGCCCAAGTTTGGTATAGTAAGACAGGTAAACTGATCTTAGTATTGAGGATGATAGCAGACAGAAATATGTAGCACACTGATATAGGAATCGGTGCGATAACTTTCGTCAGTAGGTCATTTTACGGCTGGTTCCAAACATATTACCAAATCGAGACAATTCTCATTTGAAATTCCGCATTGATAGTAATACTGTGTACATGTTTGTCATTATTGGGGATGTTCAATCAAAGTTACATGTACAAATACATATCTACAATTCTGCACGTACAATAGGAATGATTACCGAAAACTATAAAATATGATTACAAAATGACTTGTAAATGTTTGAAATTCATTCATGCATGATATGATTGTTCTTAATGATTTTTAAAAGTTTATGATTACAATACTAATATCGCTTTGTACAAAAAGCTATGTTAGTTCAACATACATATCACATAGACATCTAAGTTAGTGAAGTCTTTGCGGTAACCCTCTCCTCAAAAAGCGTATATCTAACCCTGATAAAAAATATCTGTTCACCAACAATGCGATGGGAAGCTCTGTATGAAGGTTAAATGTTATAACGTTTTTCGTTCCCTTCAGTATTGCACATGTACCTATCATGATAAAATGACACAAGATAGTGAATATTAAATTAACATATCGTTATATGAAACAAAAACTTAAAATTAATAACTATACATATTGATAGTTAAAAATATACTTTACAAAGAAAATGTACGATTTTATGCTCACATCATACAACGTAGAAAAGATATATTTCATATATGTAACATATATATATATATTATAGATGTATACGATATATTAATTGATGTATCAATCTGAAAACCATCTGCATACCCAGTTATATAAATATATACAAGTGATTGTAGAAACAGTAGGAATATATATATATATATCTTTGCTATACAACTATAGACCAACATCCACATATTTATGGATACTTACGGAAATATTAAAATATTGCGACAAATCGACTAGACTATGTACATACTAATGGGAGACGATGCAAATCCTGTTTTGGACGTTGCGAGATGTGACAACGGACGAAATGGTAACTAACCCCTTACCAAGACACTATAAGAGTCGAGAGTTCGTCAACCACCCTCTGGACATTACAGGAGTCAGTAGCTCGCCAACCACCCTCTATATATTATAGGAGTCGGTAGCTCCCCGACCACCCTCTAGATACTAAATGAGTCGGTAGCTCGTCGACCACCCTCTATATACTACAGGAGTCGGTAGCTCGCCGACCACCCTCTAGATACTACAGGAGTCGGTAGCTCCCGACCACCCTCTAGATACTACAGGAGTCGGTAGCTCCCAACCACCCTCTAGATACTACAGGAGTCGGTAGCTCTCCGACCACCCTCTAGATACTACAGGAGTCGGTAACTCCCGACCTTCCTCTAGATACTACAGGAGTCGTTAACTCCCGACCACCTTCTAGATACTACAGGAGTCGGTAACTCCCGACCTTCCTCTAGATACTACAGGAGTCGGTAACTCCCGACCTTCCTCTAGATACTACAGGAGTCAGTCCCCCGCCGACCCCCCTCTAGATACTACAGGAGTCAGTACCTCGCCGACCTCCCTCTAGATACTACAGGAGTCGGTAACTCCCGACCTTCCTCTAGATACTACAGGAGTCGTTAACTCCCGACCACCTTCTAGATACTACAGGAGTCAGTACCTCGCCGACCAACCTCTAGATACTACAGGAGTCAGTAACTAGCCGACCACCCTCTAGATACTACAGGAGTCAGTAGCTCGCCGAAAATCCTCTAGATACTACAGGAGTCAGTTCCTAGCCGACCACCCTCTAGATACTACAGGAGTCAGTACCTCGCCGACCAACCTCTTGATACTACAGGAGTCAGTAACTAGCCGACCACCCTCTAGATACTACAGGAGTCAGTTCCTTGCCGACCACCCTCTAGATACTACAGGAGTCAGTTCCTCGCCGACCACCCTCTAGATACTACAGGAGTCAGTTCCTTGCCGACCTCCCTCTAGATACTACAGGAGTCAGTTCCTCGCCGACCACCCTCTAGATACTACAGGAGTCAGTTCCTCGCCGACCACCCTCTAGATACTACAGGAGTCAGTTCCTCGCCGACCACCCTCTAGATACTACAGGAGTCAGTAACTAGCCGACCACCCTCTAGATACTACAGGAGTCGGTAGCACCCCGACCACCCTCTAGATACTACAGGAGTCAGTTCCTTGCCGACCACCCTCTAGATACTACAGGAGTCAGTAGCTCCCCGACAACCCTCTAGATACTACAGGAGTCAGTTACTAGCCGACCACCCTCTAGATACTACAGGAGTCAGTAGCTACCCGACCACCCTCTAGATACTACAGGAGTCAGTACCTCGACGACCAACCTCTAGATACTACAGGAGTCAGTACCTCGCCGACCAACCTCTAGATACTACAGGAGTCAGTACGTCGCCGACCACCCTCTAGATACTACAGGAGTCAGTTCCTCGCCGACCACCCTCTAGATACTACAGGAGTCAGTTCCTTGCCGACCACCCTCTAGATACTACAGGAGTCAGTACCTCGCCGACCACCCTCTAGATACTACAGGAGTCAGTAACTAGCGGACAACCCTCTAGATTCGCGACCACTTCCTAGACATCACAAATATTGAAGAAAACACGACAAGAGTCATGCGAGTGCTTGTCATTTTAAATTATTAATTTACTTCTTATACAGAAAGATTGTCCTTTTGGAGACGTGCTTTTGATATTTTGACAATTATGTCAACCTTTCACCAAATGACCTTTTACCAAAACGTATGTATTATATACAATCGTGACATGTTAGACCCTTCAACTCAAATGTGGGGTCCAATATTTCCATTGCTACGGATAAATTGACACCAGATGGCGCCTTGCCTCCATAAGATTACTGTAGAAACTGGCGCCATCTGGCGAACAGTTTAGAAATGTATGAGAATACCTACTGATGATCGATTTTGACATAATGTAACAAATGTTTAGGATAAAGCCTCCTTAATCTAATAATGGACGTATGTCACGTGTCTAGGTATTAACCAAACGTGTAAATCCGGCTCTCTATAGCAGACAAGCCCGGCGCAGTGAAGTTACAAAAATAGTCAAATGCGTTCGCAAGCTTGTATCTGGCAGTAGTCATTATCAACAGTGGCATACACATAAGTTAATCAATATATCAATGTATTTCTGATTTTCACCTCCTGGTTGTTCACATGGCGACACATTGGTCTGTGGAATACACATGTTTTTAAAAGTGAATCCTGATCTGACCGAATTCAGCGTCTTAAAAACACAAACGTCATCACTTTGTGCGTCCAAGAAACTGTGACGCCATAACCCACAGTCTTGTGTTACCAATAAGGCTTGTTTAGGGTTTCGATTCTTCTAACAAAAAAAATGTGATGCAAATGAATTATCTTCTTTTGTAGAACAGCGTTGATCCAAAGGGACTAATAGATTAATTTTCTCTCTCGGAATATGGTTCCTGTCGTCAATATATTCTAATTTGGAATTAAAAACGAGCCAATATGCAGACTAGTCGTCAATAAATCTTAGTTGAACACAAGCCGTAACACGTGAAGTGTCTTGCTCCAACCAACGGAGTCATATCTGTTTTACTGAACACAGTTTAAATATAATAAATTCACTAATCGCATTATATGTGTCCATAAAAAATAAAATTGGTGTCCTCCTTAGTAATAGAGAACAATAACTTGGCCTTTCACTTCCGGTAGCCCAATATTTTGGCATTCCTGGAATACAGTCTATCACACAGTTTCCGCAGCGCCCTTTACTTAGTTTGACGGTTTACTATCTGTCAAACAGTTGCCCTGACGCTGAATACTCAATTAGCCAGCAACATGTGGGGATACTGGTTAGAGTACGATACAGTGTTGAGGTTCAACCCTTCGATGAAAGACTTGTGGCTCTCGGGCGACACCGCTGTGGAGCCAACAGGAGACGGAAGTGGGGATGGACCCGGTAGTAGTTCCCCGAGACTTCCGAATGACGGGACATGATGGGTGACTGGTGAGGAATTGTGGTATAGCTCTCCAGGCATGGTTGAAGGGACTGTGTGATGTTGCGGAGACCTCAGGGTCGTGTGCTGCTGATGCATCTGTTGTTGCTGCTGTTGTTGTTGTTGCTGTTGTTGATGATGTAGCTGTTGGATTTGCTGTTGTTGTTGCTGCTGCTGTTGCGTCAAGAATACCCTTTGTTGTTGGTCAATGTAAAACTCCACACGGGGATCCCTTGGGGACAGGGACCTCGGCCGCTGGGGAGAATTGAAATTAGTTGTCTGGAGTGCTGCAGCTGATCTTTGACGGAAATAGTTACCGAACTCTGTCGGGGAGAGACGTGTTGGTCGTTTTGCCTGAGTCTTTAGCTTTGTTGAACCAAACTTTGTTTGGGCAAATGTGGATGCTGTGAACCGTGTGGGAATCCTGTCCTGTTTGGGGACATAAGCTGGCAATGGACTTTTTGCAGCCGGGGCCGCGTTCGCGGACGGTGCAGTACCACCGCTACCACCGCCTCCCAAGGACGTGGATGAATTGAAGAGGGCGCACGAGGGCGACGTGGATGCACTGCTTGGCCAGCCATTGGACGATGTCGGTGAGACGGGAGACAAGCCTCCCGGGGATAGATTCATGCTCCCGAATGACGACGACAAATTATCGATAGGTTTGAAGCACTGAGCGTCAGGATTGAAGCTTCTGCCCGCTGCCGCCTGTACCTCGCGATCCGCCTTTTCAGTACTGTCCTCGTCCCGGCGCTCGCTGTACAGGATCTTGACGGGTCCTTTCTCCCCGATCTTGTAAGACACCTCACAAGGGTCAATCCAGAGAATTAGCTCGGCAGGAAGGTACGACAGTACCTCGGTAAGGTCAAGGCCACACTCATAGATGGCCTTGATAATTACCGGATCGACTTTCTCTCCATTTACTCTAACACAACGATAACCTGTTCCTTTGATTGGCTTGTCAGGGTACCAATGACCTTCAAATTTACCCTTTAATCCTTTTTCCAATTCCTCTGCCAGCAAGTCTACTCGTCGCCTTGGTAACTTGCTGTATAGATAAGATATGACAAAGTTGAGAGCCACAGAAACCTCGACGTGCATCTTGTCCGGTGCGACTGATACTGACTCCTCTAGACTGACCTTAAAGCTGGGACGATCAATCAATATCGTGGAATCCAGAATAAATCTCGTCTGTTTATAATGCCGTAGTTTCAAAGCAACCTGTAACGAAACAGCACAATATTAGACTATAGTAAAGGTCTCGCACGCCGCCAGTGTCTAATACTCTAGCACACCAGGGGCCTCTAAGTCACGTCACAGGCCTCCGAACTAACGCTTCAGCGTAGAAATATAACGTTTATCACATACACCAGGTTTTGATACGAACAACTTGATAATTACTCTGAAATGTCATGATTGTATGCTGTCAAAGTACGATGGCAGTCACACCTGGGCGTCTGTTGTAAAAGTCAATACCTCAACATTGATTTCGTTACGTGTATTGCTACTGTAAAATTGGTTTCGTTAGATGTAGTTCTATTGTAGTGAGTAAAGAACATGCAACGTATTCACACCTCTAGGTATTTCGTGCAATGTACATAGCTGGTAGGCTGAGCAACTCGTCATCATTCTGGGTAATGGTTCACGTATTATTGCTCGTCCCTCGTGCGGTACACGTGTATTATGACGCACATGTCTGTGAGCAACAGTATGGACAAAAGAGTCCCTTTCATATGCATTTATCAGAAAAAGCATTAGATACATTACTCTTCTATAAATATCCATTATTTAGTCAAAATCAGGATACACCTTTTGATAAAAACTGAATTTGTCTGATGGTAAAATATGTTAATGACGATACACAAGCTATCGATGAATGTATATGACGAAACGATTTTATAAGGACGATCCTGTCATCATTGTACGACAAAAAAGACACTTGAGAGGTAAATACAACAAATGTACAGAAGTGTACGTATACGCCCAATTGATTGCTTAAGTTAACGTATATACACAGATTGTGTTATACTGTACGTGTATATATCACAGAATGTGTTATACTGTAAGTGTATATATATCACAGATTGTGTTATACTGTACGTGTATATATATCGCAGAATGTGTTATACTGTACGTGTATATATATCACATATTGTGTTATACTGTACGTGTATATATATCACAGAATGTGTTATACTGTACGTGTATATATATCACAGAATATGTTATACTGTACGTGTATATATATCACAGATTGTGTTATACTGTACGGGTATATATATCACCGATTGTGTTATACTGTACGTATATATATATCAAAGATTGTGTTATACTGTATGTGTATATATATCACAGATTGTGTTATACTGTACGTACATATATATCACAGATTGTGTTATACTGTACGCGTATATATGTCACAGAATGTGTTAAACTGTACATATATATCACATATTGTGTTATACTGTGCGTATATATGACACAGATTGTGTTATACTGTACGAATATATCACAGATTATGTTATACTGTACATATATATGACACATATTGTGTTATACTGTACGTATATATCACAGATTGTGTTATACTGTACGTATATATCACAGAATGTGTTATACTATACATATATGTCACAGATTGTGTTATACTGTACATATATATCACAGATTGTGTTATACTGTACGTATATGACACAGATTGTGTTATACTGTACATATATGTTACAGATTGTGTTATACTGTATGCATATATCACAGATTGTGTTATACTGTACATATATGTCACAGATTGTGTTTTACTGTACATATGTATCACATATTGTGTTTTACTGTACATATGTATCACAGATTGTGTTATACTGTACGCATATGACACATATTGTGTTATACTGTACATATATGTTACAGATTGTGTTATGCTGTACGTACATATATATCACATATTGTGTTATACTGTACGTATATTTCACAGATTGTGTTATACTGTACATATACGACAAAGAATGTGTTATACTGTACATATATATCACAGATTGTGTTATTCTGTACGTATATATCACAGATTGTGTTATACTGTACGTATTTATATATCACATATTGTGTTATACTGTACATATATATCACAGATGGTGTTATACTGTACATATATATCATAGATTATGTTATACTGTACATAAATATCACATATTGTGTTATACTGTACGTATATATCACAGATTGTGTTATACTGTACGTGTATATATATCACAGACTGTGTTATACTGTACGTGTATATATATCACAGACTGTGCTATACTGTACGTACATATATATCACAGATTGTGTTATACTGTACGTGTATATATATCACAGATTGTGTTATACTGTACGTGTATATATATCACTGATTGTGTTATACTGTACATATCTATATATCAAAGATTGTGTTATACTGTGCGTGTATATATATCACAGATTATGTTATACTGTACGTACATATATATCACAGATTGTGTTATACTGTACGTGTATATATATCACAGATTGTGTTTTACTATGCGTATATATATGACACAGATTGTGTTATACTGTACAAATGTACGTATATATCACATATTGTATGTTATACTGTACATTTATATGACACATATTGTGTTATACTGTACGTATATATCACAGATTGTGTTATACTTTACGTATATATCACAGATTGTATTATACTGTACATATATGTCACAGATTGTGTTATACTGTACGTATAGGACACAGATTGTGTTATACTGTACATATATGTTACAGATTGTGTTATACTGTACGTTTATATATATCACATATTGTGTTATACTGTACGTATATATCAAATATTGTGTTATACTGTACATATATATCACAGATTGTGTTATACTGTACATATATGACCAGATTGTGTTATACTGTTCATATATATCACAGAATGTGTTATTCTGTACGTATATATCACAGATTGTGTTATACTGTACGTACATATATATCACATATTGTGTTATATTGTACATATATATCACAGATTGTGTTATACTGTACATATATATCACAGATTGTGTTATACTGTACATACATATCACAGATTATGTTATACTGTACATATATGACCAGATTGTGTTATACTGTTCATATATATCACAGATTGTGTTATTCTGTACGTATATATCACAGATTGTGTTATACTGTACGTACATATATATCACATATTGTGTTATATTGTACATATATATCACAGATTGTGTTATACTGTACATATATATCACAGATTGTGTTATACTGTACATACATATCACAGATTATGTTATACTGTACATATATGACCAGATTGTGTTATACTGTTCATATATATCACAGATTGTGTTATTCTGTACGTATATATCACAGATTGTGTTATACTGTACGTACATATATATCACATATTGTGTTATATTGTACATATATATCACAGATTGTGTTATACTGTACATATATATCACAGATTGTGTTATCCTGTACGTATATATCACAGATTGTGGTATACTGTTCGTACATATATATCACAGATTGTGTTATACTGTACGTACATATATATCACATATTGTGTTATACTGTACATATATATTACAGATTGTGTTATACTGTACATATATGTCACAGATTATGTTATACTGTACATAGATATCACAGATTGTGTTATACTGTACATATATATCACAGATTGTGCTATACTGTTCGTACATATATATCACAGATTGTGTTATACCGTACATATATATCACAGATTGTGTTATTCTGTACATATATATCACAGATTGTGTTATACTGTACGTATATATCACAGATTGTGTAATACTGTACGTATATGACACAGATTGTGTTATACTGTACGTATATATCACAGATTGTGTTATGTATATATCACAGATTGTGTTATACTGTGTATATATATCACAGATTATGTTATACTGTACGTACATATATATCACAGATTGTGTTATGCTGTACGTATATATCACAGATTGTGTTCTTCTGTACATATATATAACAGATTGTGTTACACTTTTCGTACATACCACAGATTGTGTTATACAGTTCGTATATATCACAGATTGTGTTATACTGTACATATATATAACAGATTGTGTTATACTGTACGTATATATCACAGATTGTGTAATACTGTAAGTATATATCACAGATTGTGTTATACTGTACGTATATATCACAGATTGTTTTATACTGTACGTATATATCACAGATTGTGTTATACTGTACGTATAAATCACAGATTGTGTTATACTGTACGTATATATCATATATATCACAGATTGTGTTATACTGTACGTATATATTACAGATTGTGTTATTATGTACGTATATATCACAGATTGTGTTATTCTGTACGTTTATATCACAGATTGTGTTATACTGTACGTATATATCACAGATTGTGTTATACTGTACGTATGTCACGGATGTATAATACACTATGTATCTTCTTCTTTATACGAGGGCTCCATCAGTTTGATGATTATGCCATCGGGGGTCCTATTGTAGAGTCGTGAAGGGGTTATTTATAGTGATTAGGGGTGGGTTTGGGGTTTTTTTGTGATTTTTTTGTGCAAGGTATAGATAAAAAGTTAAAATCTGGTGTATGTACTAGTGTGTGATGAGGGCTTCAAGGGCTGTGTAGGGTAAGTGTGCCTTGAAGTCCTCTAGTGTTGTGCATTGGACTGCTGCTAAGGGGAGGAGATTCCATTGTGTTACTGTGTGTGGGAAGAATGAGTATTTGTAGGTGTCCTTTGTAGCAGATATGTGTTTGTATGCGTACGGGTGTACCTGTCTGGGCGGGGGTCTACAGGTGTGAGTATATGCGTTGGGTTTAAAGCTACGATTCTGTGTATAATTTTGTAAAAAAAGGATAATTCTAGTGTATAAGCGTCGTGTTTGTAGTGTTGGCCATTGAAGTGTGTGGATCATGTCTGTTACGGAACTAGTGTTGTGGTATCTGTTTTGTACGTAGCGTGCTGCTCTTCGTTGTGTTTTTTCTATTTGTTTAATTTGGTTTGTGTTGTGTGGATCCCAAATGGAAGAGCAGTATTCAAGTTTAGGCCTAACTAGTGCTTTGTATGCACAGAATGTCTCAGTGTATTATATTTATTACAGTGTGTCATACTCACGTATATATGTGTGCAATGTGTAATGTTATAGGTACAGTACTGTACTTATCACAGAATATT